ATACAGCTTCATTTTATTTGTAGCTACATAAAGGGATGCGTTGTCATTTTCAGAAGCTTTACTCCTCAGTGACAGCTAAAAAACAAACTGCGAGGGCATCTATTTTGATGAAGTTTATTTTGGTATTCCGACTTCGAGTTTACAATCCCACAATTAGTATTAAATTGCAATTTCAGTTACATACAAAAATTGTATTTTAGTCTAACCAAATCAGACAGATACTTTAGTGAAATTTTACTGAATCAGAAATGATCGTTCCGAGATAGTCGTGTTCAGTAAAGTGGAGTTAATGAAACCATCAATGTAATTCAAGATGGTGAAGTACAGATTTTAAGAGAAATTGTTGAGATTCCAGGAGTCTGATTAGAGTAATTACTATCACACCTTCATGCAGACAACAGTTCATGTAGCACAGTTCGAGTCTCTTAATCGGCTGCATCTGTGGCAAACTAATCGGTAGAAACTAAACTTTTCATAGCGAGCACATTAATACAGTGTTACATCATCACTTTGATTTTCCTCTGATTCTCCACGAAATCATTAGTAGGCGGTAAAGGTAGAAGTTATGTCCATTTTTATTGTGTATGAATGTAAGATTACGCTGAGTGCTCAAATCGTATTAGGGCTACACAAAGCATAGACTAGAGTTCTTGTCGTATCATCTAAGAAACTAATGGGTAAGTACTTGCTGTTAGGAATGTAGGAGAATTCTAGTTTTCAGATGTTTTCTGGAACTAAGCTATTTTTTTGACTTTAAAATTTTAGCAATGTTTGGACGGGTTGACATTTCACTGTCATGTTTTTTACAGTTAATAATTTTGCATGAAAAATTACAGTAATAGTTTAATTATGGCGAAATGTGCATTTAAGAATTACTCATAGTTGATTTTGTATAAGAATTTCTCAAGTTACTGCTTAACATATTTAATTTTACTATTTTTGGTTCATGGTTCCATGAACGCTGTTTGCAGAAAACACTATACAATTTCCTGAGTTATTTTTAGGATTGAGGTGACTAGCGTGAAACTTAAGAAGACAAGAGAAATGGCTGATGAACGCTCACGCCGTGGATTAAATCCAAATGCGCAGGAATTTGTCCCAAATCCAGCTGCTCGTCCGTTTATTCCTGGACAGCATTACATTTTCACGCCACCGCCAACGCAAGTGTATTATCAGCCAACACATCCAGTCGGTCAAGAAATTTATCCGATGTGTCAGCAATATAGTAATGTAGGGGTAACTGGTATTCCATCGAATGGATCACAGTCAGCATTTGTTTGCTCTCATCAGCAACCTTATTCTAATGCTGTAATGCCTAGGCTAGAATTAAAAAGGTGTGATGTAACACAGCGTGGAACCGAAGAGCTGGATTCCCTTGCTGATGGTCAGCTTTAAATATTTTAACCTTGTTGAAGATACGTTAGTTATGCAATGAGTGGAACTTATCTTTTTTTGTTAGCAGTATCATTTTGCTTTTTCGACATTCAATGAAAGTTTTTATTTTGTATATTTTTTGATCTGCCAATAGTCAAAATCAAATAAAAATGCTCACTGTCACCAAGTGAGATGTGTTATATGATCGAATGGATCTTAAAATTCCTTTTCAAAAAGTTTGTATGACATAAATGCAAAATGTGCATCCTGTTCACATGCTAACATTCAATTTTTTGTAGCTTGGGATGACGAAGTGGAAGATAAAAGAGAACCAATAGAAAAAGAAGATGGGATAAAAGAAATGGAGGAGAAAATTTCTGCACCTTTAGAGGTACCTTGTAAAATTATCTGCCATGGTTTTGTGACTTGCTATGAAAGTTTTCAACTGGTGTATGTAATCATTTGTGAGAATATACATAATAAAAAGTTAATTCATTTTCGTTTGAATAGCTGATTTATTTCTTTTCTTTGAGAAACTATAGTTTTATAAGTTTGCTAAATAAAAAGTACTGTTTTCAGAAAAAGGAAAAATTGGTTATTCAAGAAAATCCACCAAGTGATATTCAGAAAATCAAAGATAACTTAGTTCCTTCATCAGAAGTAAAAGCGGGAGACGAAGAAGAGACGCCGTTGTCGGATAAAGTCAAACAGTCTCTTAACATTGATGGTTAGTGTTTGTTAGGCAAATAAAAAAGCTAGCGTATAAGCCGGATTGTATATGATATGATTTTGATTGTGTTTAAAATAATTTAAATAGTTTACCATTTTGTTTACTCATGCATTGGCATATAGATTTTAAAATCGGCAAAATATAAATTTTATGCTGCGGTTTACGATATTTCACTAAACTGTATTATTGATCTAGATAGCGATCGAAAGGAACACGTCAATATGGTTTTTATTGGGCACGTGGATGCTGGAAAGTCCACAATTGGTGGCCATTTAATGTTTTTGACAGGAATGGTGGATAAACGCACTTTAGAGAAATATGAACGAGAAGCGAAGGATAAAGGACGAGAATCATGGTTTGTACTGCACTGATTACTCGAATTTGTAATGAAAGAACCTTACCAGTTTTTTATTTGAGAAACATGTCTTAAATTGGAGCACGAAAACACTGAGTGAGTAAATCTAGTAACTAAAATCAACATTCGCCGAAAACAAATTATTGAAAGCTGGTATCTCAATATGCGAAAATAAATTACTAATATATCACAGTTTAATTTTTCCTATTTTCGGTATCTCTCATGGGCTTTGGATACAAATGATGAAGAGCGGGAAAAAGGTAAAACAGTGGAGTGTGGTCGCGCATTTTTTGAAACTGAAAAAAAGCATTTTACGATTTTGGATGCACCTGGGCATAAATCTTTTGTTCCAAATATGATTAGTGGAGCAACTCAAGCAGATTTAGCCATCTTGGTTAGTCCGCATTAATAGTGTGCTTATCAGATAATTCCATCTATTGCTCCTTTTTGGTAATATTTTCTTACTTTGTTTGGCATTTTAAATACATAATTTTATACTATG